GTGTGGTTTATGAGTTTTTTTTGCTGTTTTATTAAAGAAAATTTATTTTGAAAGTGTTTAAATGAAAAATTATTTTAATGTTATTAAAACGAATAGTATGCATTTAAAGAAAGTTTATTTTGTATTTGAAGTTTTAATCTGTTAATTAAAGTGATAAATTTATACAATAATTTTGCACTTGAAAACATTTATATCCAAAGCTTTGAAGGTGTTTTTTTATTATTTGTTTCATCTTTTGAAAAGAAAATTTAATTATAATATATAAAAGATTAAACAATTGTATTGTTTAAAGTTTATTGATATTAAATAAATTTTAATATTAATTAAATTATTAACATAATTAAGGTAAATTTTACTTATTTAAAAATAGTTTTTTTTTAATTTTTAACATAAAATCAGTGTTTTAAAATAATTTAATACAAGAATATATTTTTTACAACATTTTTCTATAAAATTGTTAGTTTTTTAACATATTTTTCCATAGAAAACTTAGCGTATAACAGTTTCTTCTTTTGAAATTGAGCTTATAACAGTTTTTCTATAAAAAATTTGTGTGTAAAAGATTTTTCTAGAGAAAAATTTTGTGTATGACACATTTTTCTACAGAAAATTTTGAGTATAATAACTTTTTCTATAGAAACATTTGTGTATAACAACTTTTTCTATAGAACATTTTCGATGGAAAAATTTTTCTATAAAACATTAAAGTATGTATACATCTTTTCTATAGAAAATTTGGCGAATTACGGTTTATTCTTTAGTAAAACAGTTGTTTCTATTGAAAATATGTGTATAACAGTTTTTTTCTATAGAAAAATTTATATATAACAGTATTTCTTTAGAAAAATGTGTGTATAGCAGTATTTTTCATACAAAGATTCTGTATAACAGTTTTTTTTTTTTTGAAAAAAAAAAATTGTATAAGTTTTTTTCTATAGAAAAATTTGAGTATAATAATTTCTTCTATATAAAAATGTGTGTATAGCAGTTTTTCTATACAATTGTTTCTGTATAACAGCTTTTTTCTATAGAAAAATTTGTATATAATTCTTTTTTCTATAGACAAATGTGTGTATAGCTGTTTTTTTCTATACAAAAATTTCTGTATAACAGTTTATTTCTATAGAAAAATTTTTATATAATATTTTTTTCTATAGAAAAGTGTGTGTATAGCAGTTTTTTCTATACTAAAGATTCCGTATAACAGTTTTTCTATAGAAAAATGTTTGTAGCAGTTTCTTCTATATAAATGTTTCTGTATAAACAGTTTTTTTCTATAGAAAAATTTGTGTACACAGTTTTTCTTTAGAAAAATGTGTTTATAGCAATCTTTTCTATACAAAAGTTTCTGTATAACGGTTTCTTCTATAGAAAAATGTTTGTAGCAGTTTCTTCTATATAAATGTTTCTGTATAACAGTTTTTTCTATAGAAAAATTTGTGTACAACAGTTTTTCTTTAGAAAAATGTGTTTATAGCAATCTTTTCTATACAAAAGTTTCTGTATAACGATTTCTTCTACAGAAAAATTTGTGGACAACAGTTTTTTCTATTGAATAATATGTGTATAACATTTTTTTTTATATAAAATTGTGCGTAACATCTTTTTCTATAGAAAATTTTGTGTATAACAGAGTTTTCTATAGAAAAATTATTGTATAATTCTTATTTCTACATAAAAATTTGTGTAGAACAAGCTTTCTAAAGAAACATTTTTGTATAACAGTTTTTTCTATAAAAAAAAGCTTTTCTATCGAAATATTTCCTATAGTTTTTTCTGTATAACAGTTCCTTCCGTTAAACTTTCCTATTTAAAAGTTTGTGTTACAGTTTTGTGTATTACAGTTTTTTCTGCAAAACATATTTTGTATAACAGTTTTCTCTCTGTCATAACCTCATACCTTTTCTACATTCCAGAATTATTCTAAATTTGCATTTTTCTTAAGCTCATTTTGTTATTTAAATTGTTTTATTACAATTAACAGCAAAAATACATGATTCATTTCGTTATTTCTTTCGTATTGGAACTGCGTTTGTAAGCGGTTTGTCATTTTATTATTTGTTTGTGTATAAACAAATATAAAATCATTTTATTTTTTACTTTAGAATAATAAAAATCAACAATTTTAAAAATCACTTTTATATGCCTGTGCCTCTTGCAACGTGTTTAGAATCTTAATTATCTACTCTATACTTTTCAAGATTTTATGAATAATTTTTCAACGCTTTAAGGTTGAGTTTTTTTTATTTTTTTTCTGTATGAATTTATTTTGTTTTATTAATTTTAAGTGTATGTAATTTTATTTATATAAAGCCGACAATTCTTTTTTTATTCTTGTTAAGAATTTGTACTTTTTTTAGTTGTTTATAAGTAATTTTGAGATTTCCGCATTTTTACTTAAAAGCTTTTGTCCTCACAAAAGGTTATTGGAAAATTTAAGATATTAAACTTATTCACTACAGAATAAGAAACGGAAGAAATATAGACACTGTTCCAGGCTTGACTACATAGTAAACTACCGTAGTAAAAGTATAGACTAGAATATAAGCTAAACTATAGACTAGACTATAGACTAGACTATAGACTAGACTATAGACTAGACTATAGACTAGCCTATAGAATAGACTATAGACTAGGACTATAGACTAGACTAATAGACTAGACTAGACTAGACTATAGACTAGACTATAGACTAGCCTATAGACTAGACTATAAACTAGACTATAGACTAGACTATAAACTAGACTATAGACTAGACTATAAACTAGACTATAGACTAGACTATAGACTAGACTATAGACTAGACTATAGACTAGACTATAGACTAGGCTATAGACTAGACTATAGACTAGACTAGACTATAGACTAGACTATAGGCTAGACTATAGACTAGACTATAGACTAGACTATAGACTAGACTATAGACTAGACTATAGACTAGACTATAGACTAGACTATAGACTAGACTATAGACTAGACTATAGACTAGACTATAGACTAGACTATAGACTAGACTATAGACTAGACTATAGACTAGACTATAGACTAGACTATAGACTAGACTATAGACTAGACTATAGACTAGACTATAGACTAGACTATAGACTATACTATAGACTAGACTATAGACTAGACTATAGACTAGACTATAGACTAGACTATAGACTAGACTATAGACTAAACTATACTAGACTATAGACTAGACTATAGACTAGACTATAGACTAGACTATAGACTAGACTATAGACTAGACTATAGACTAGACTATAGACTAGACTATAGACTAGACTATAAGACTAGAAACTATAGACTAGACTATAGACTACTATAGACTAGACTGATAGACTAGACTATAAACTAGACTATAGACTAGACTACAACTAGACTATAGACTAGACTATAACTAGACTATAGACTAGACTATAGACTAGACTATAGACTAGACTATAGACTAGGCTATAGACTAGACTATAGGCTAGACTATAGACTAGACTATAGGCTAGACTATAGACTTGACTATAGACCAGACTATAGAATAGACTATAGACTAGACTATAGACCTAGACTATAGACTAGACTAGACTATAGACTAGACTATAGACTATGACTATAGACTAGCATAGACTAGACTATAGACATAGACTAGACTATAGACTAGACTATAGACTAGACTATAGACTAGACTATAGACTAGACTATAGACTAGACTATAGACTAGACTAGACTATAGACTAGACTATAGACTAGACTAGACTAGACTATAGACTAAAGACTAGACTAAAGACTAGATGATAGATAGATATAGATAGATAGAAGATAGATAGATAGATAGATAGATAGATAGATAGATAGATAGATAGATAGATAGATAGATAGATAGATGATAGATAGATAGATAGATAGATAGATAGATAGATGATAGATAGATAGATAGATAGATAGATAGATAGATAGATAGTAGCTATAGATAATAGAAGATAGCTAGATAGCTCGCTCTCTCGCTCCGCCTCGCTCCTCGCTCGCTCGCTCGCTCGCTCGCTCTCTCTCGCTCGCTCGCTCCTCGCTCGCTCGCTCGCTCGCTCGCTCGCTCTCTCGCTCGCTCGCTCGCTCGCTCGCTCGCTCGCTCGCTCGCTCTCTCGCTCGCTCGCTCGCTCGCTCGCTCCTCGTCGCCGCCTCGCCTCCGCCTCCCCCGTTCGCTCTTTCGCTTCTCCCCCCTCCTCCCGTTGTCCTCCTTCCCCCCCTCTTCCTTTTTTCCTTTTCTCCCCACCGTTTCTTCCTCCCCTCCCCTTCTCATCCCCGCCCTTTGTTCCCTTGCCCGTGTTCCCCCCTTTTCCTTGTTCCCCCCCCCTCCCCCGCCCTTCGTTACTGTTTTCCCCTTTCCTTTCATGGCTCACGAAAAATATAGGAAATGTAAGTTTTGATTTGTATTTGACAAGAGATTTTATTTCTCCACAATTGTAATTTCTTTGCATTTGGTGGCCAAACCAATTGATGAAACTGTAGGTAGATAAAAAATAATAATACACAGAGTAACAAATAGTTTTATAAACAATCTTTAAAAAAGTATATAGATTTAAAACTTAAATATCTAAAACTGGTGTCATTTCTGCTACATTACACTGTTAACAAAAAAAAAGAAACATAAAATAAAACTATAATGAGTTATAATGCAAATAAATCTAATAAATAATAGCTTTACTAAAGTAATAAATGCGTAGGCTTATTTCTCTTCTAATAGTAAATCAATAAAAAAGTTAAAAAAAAAATATTTTATTGAATTTGTAAAAATAAAAAATTATAACTTAAATCAGTCTTAAAACTAAAACTAAAGCAAGCACATGTTATTAAGAAGAATTACTTTAAAGTTTAAACACTTTATGGAACTAAAACCATGAGATTATTAAGAAATTACAATAAAAAACAAGTATTTATTAAGTTTAATTGAAATTGAAAAAACAAATACAATTTATATTAATTTTTATTCTCTGCATTAATTACAGATGGCTATACCCCCTCCCCCGGGTCCGCCACCACCACCAGGTCCTCCTCCACCACCTACAATGGGTGGTTTAAAATTGGGCGGAGGTGCTGCCGGCGGTGCTGATCCCCGTTCTGCATTATTACAATCCATACAAAAGGGTACAAAATTAAAGAAAACCACAACGGTAGACAAAAGTGTTCCTGCCTTGGCGGGTAAAATATGTGATGGTGGTTCACCTAAACGTCAAACTACTGTGGGATCTAATAATATAAGCAATAACAATAATAATATAGGCAATGGAGCCCCTAAATTGGGTGGTCTATTTGAGGGTTTAACCTCTATGCCGAAATTGAAACCGGTCAATGGTAGTAGAAGTAAGTTTATGCGTTTCTTGTAAAACTTTAGATCAAATTTTATTTAACTTTTCTTTATTTCTTAGCACCCGCCTCAAGCGTGGCAACGTCTGCCAATAATCGCAGTAATAGTCCTCCATCATCTAATAACACCTCAACTACAGCTTCATCTAATAATGGTCCTTTGGATTTTAATGCTGAACTAACGAAACATTTAACTTTGAAACGTCAAAAGCAACAACAGTTGCAACAGCCAACATCAACAACAACAGCTCCACCGCCACCACCTCCTCAAACACATATCAATGCTACCGAAGCTAATTTGAAAACAAATAGAGGACCACCGCCACAACCACCATCACAGCCTCCTAAAAATTTATCAACGGTATGTGAAGTTATCAAGATCAAGCTATAGGTAGCAGCATAGTCTATAGCCTGGACAATATTCTAGTCTGGACTATAGTTAAGCCTATAGTCTGGACTATAGTCTAGTCTATAGTCTGGGCTATGGTCTAGTCTATATTTTAGTCTAGATTCTGACAATAGCCTATTCTATAGTCCTAGTCCACAGTCTGGCCTATAGTCAATATTCTGGATTAATCTGTAATATAATAGTCTAGTCTGTAATCTGGATTATAGCCTATAGTCCGGATTGTAGTTAAATCTAAGCTTGGGTTATAGTATAAATTCAGACTGGATTACAGTCTAGTCTATAATCTGGTCTATAGTCTAGTCTATAGTCTGCACTATAGTCTAGTCTATAGTCTTTACTATAGTCTACAATCTAGTCTAAATTCAGGACTACACTTTATTCTATAGTGTAGAACATAATCTAGTCTATATTCTGGACTATAGTCTAGTGTATAGCCTACACTATAGTATAGTTTATAACCTGTACTATAGTCTAGGTTATAGCCTATACTATAGTCTAGTTTTATATTCTATACTATAGTCTATTGTGTAGTCTGGACTATAGTCTGCGCTATAATCTAGTCTAAAGTCTGGGCTATACTACAGTTTGGGCTATAGTCAAGTCTACAGTGTGGACTATAGTCTGTACTATAGATATATGTTCTGAATACAGTCTTGCCTATAGACTGGACTACAGTCTAGTCTAAAGTCTGTAGTCTAATCTATTGTCTAGACTATAGTATGTTCTATATTCTGGACTATAGTCTAGTTTATAGTCTGGAATATAGTCTACTCTATAGTCTGGAGTAAAGTTTACTCTATTGTATCGACTATAGTCTACTCTGTAGTCTGGGCTATAGTCTACTATATAGTCTGCCTATAGTCCAGTCTATACTATAGTCTAGTCTAAAGTCTGGACTATAGTTTAGTCTATAGCCTAGTCTATTGTCTAGTTTGACTATAGACTCTTATATAACCTGGACTATTGTCTAGTCTATTGTATGGGCTATTGTCTGAAGTCAAGTTTTGTCTTTCGCTATACAAAAAATGTTTACATTTGTATTTCTTTTCTACTTCCCAGAGTACTTCCGATTCTCTACTAGAAAAGAATAAAACCAATGGATCTTCAACAAATGTACGTTCATTTATATTTTCCAATAATGAAGCTTCTTCAACAAAACAATCACCACCACCGCCACCACCTACAATATCCGATAAATTTATGGATAAAATCAATACGGGCGGTAGTGTTCGAAGCAAAGCGGCCAATTTGAAGTAAGTACATTTCAACTTCAATATCTTTCTATTTTTTTTTTTTTGTTCTTTATCTATCTCTCTAGACTTTCTCATTACATTTTTCTGATATATACATAAATACATATATATATTTGAGACATATAAGTAGTGTAGGTTTTTTTCTGTTGTTGTTAAATATATATTATTTTTTTAATATTTATAATGTACTTTAAAGAAAGAATTATTCATCATTTTGTTTGGTTATTAATTATTATTTAAAAATGTACATACATGCATACAGTTACTATAAACATTTAAATATGTTTGTATATGTGTACTATTTAAATTGTATAATTTCGTTATAAATATTCATTTCATTTCAATTTACTTTATTCAACTTTATTTTCTTTTGCATTTTTTTTTTTTTTGTATATTTATGAAAATATGGAAAAAAGTATTTTGTTAAACAAAGATATTTGTTGACAGTTTAGATCGGTGAACATTATTATTAGAGTTATACTGGTTGGTTGAGTGGAAAAGCCAAAGAATATTCTACAAAAATTTAATTAACATTAAATTTAATATAGATTAAAAAATGGACTAGATTATAGACAGGACTAGGCTATAGACTACAGAATAGACTATAGAATAGACTATAGAATAGACCTATAGAATAGACTATATACTAGACTATAGACTAGACTATAGACTAGACTATAGACTAGACTATAGAATCGACTATAGAATAGACTATAGACTAGACTATAGACTAGACTATAGATAGACTATAGACTAGACTATAGACTAGACTATATACTAGACTATAGACTAGACTATAGACTAGACTATAGACAAGACTATAGACTATAGACTAGACTATAGACTAGACTATAGACTAGACTATAGACTAGACTATAGACTAGACTATAGACTAGACTATAGACTACCTAGAGACTATATACTAGACTATAGACTAGACTATAGACTAGACTATAGACTAGACTATAGACTAGACTATAGACTAGACTATAGACTAGACTATAGACAGACTATAGACTAGACTATAGACTAGACTATAGACTAGACTATAGACTAGACTATAGACTAGACTATAGACTAGACTATAGACTAGACTATAGACTAGACTATAGACTAGACTATAGACTAGACTATAGACTAGACTATAGACTAGACTATAGACTAGACTATAGACTAGACTATAGACTAGACTATAGACTAGACTATAGACTAGACTATAGACTAGACTATAGACTAGACTATAGAATAGACTATAGACTAGACTATAGACTAGACTATAGAATAGACTATAGACTAGACTATAGACTAGACTATAGAATAGACTATAGATAGACTATAGACTAGACTATAGACTAGACTATAGATAGACTATAGACTAGACTATAGACTAGACTATAGACTAGACTATAGACTAGACTATAGACTAGACTATAGACTAGACTATAGACTAGACTATAGACTAGACTATAGACTAGACTATAGACTAGACTATAGACTAGACTATAGACTAGACTATAGACTAGACTATAGACTAGACTATAGACTAGACTATAGACTAGACTATAGACTAGACTATAGACTAGACTAGTATAGACTAGACTATAGACTAGACTATAGACTAGACTATAGACTAGGCTATAGACTAGACTATAGACTAGACTATAGAATAGACTATAGACTAGACTATAGACTAGACTATAGATATAGACTAGACTATAGACTAGACTATAGACTAGACTATAGACTAGACTATAGACTAGACTACAGACTAGACTATAGACTTGACTATAGACTAGACTATAGACTAGACTATAAGACTAGACTATAGACTAGACTATGGATTAGACTATAGACTAGACTTTAGACTAGACTATAAACTTAACTATAGACTAGACCATAGACTAGACTTAGGCTAGATTATAGACTAGACTATAGACTAGACTATAGACTAGACTATAGACTAGCCTATAAACTAGACTATAGACTAGAATATAGACTAGCCTATAAACTCGACTATAGACTAGACTGTAGAATAGACTATAGATTAGACTAGACTAAAGACTAGGCTATGGATTAGACTATAAACAATAGATTTAACTATAGACTGGACTATAGACAGACTATATACTAGACTATAGACTAGACTATAGACTAGACTATAGACTAGACTATAGACTAGACTACAGACTAGACTATAGACTAGACTACAGACTAGACTATAGACTAGACTATAGACTAGACTATATACTAGACTATATACTAGACTATAGACTATATTAGGGACTAGACTATAGACTAGAATATAAACTAAATTAAATCCACTATAAACTAAATTATTGAAAATGTTTTTTTTTTTTTTTTTTTGTTAGTTATAATATAATTTCAAAAAAAAAAATTGGTTTATTAAAATTTTGTTGTAAAATTATTTTTATTTTTAGTATATTTTATGTTTGTTTATTTGATTTCTTTTTCTTTTCGATTTTTTTCCGTTTTCAACAGTATGACTTTAGGGAATAATAATGTATTTGTAAATAATAATAACAACAACAATAATAATAATACAACAACATCAACAACATCCATAAATTCCCAAAACACTATAACCATATGAACAACAACAGCCACAGCAACAACAGCTTATCGTCATCATCGTCGTCGTCATTGGTCACATCATCGGTTGCATCTGGTGGATCATTGCGTAATTTAGCACCCAATAGATCAACACTATTTGGTGGTGGTACTGGTAATAGTGGTGGCAATAGTAGTTATAATAGTAATGGTATTATTGATAATACCACCAACACAGTCAGTCCATCGGCCTCAGCTTCACCCTCACCACCCACTAAATCACCATTGCCAACGTTGAAACCAAATCATGGCAAACCAAATTTTGCCCCCAAACCACCAGGTTTGCAAAAATTGGCTTTGGCTAATAATGGTCAAAGACCGGGTGTAGCTCGTCATCATAGTATGAAATCGCCAAGGTATATAAGAAACAAACTACAATTTTATAAACATTTTTCTCTCTTTCTCTCTCACTCTCATAAACATATCTCGCCTATAAAAAATGCTTACTTTATTACAAAAACAAGAGCTTTTAACAATATCAATCACCTTCAAATAAAACCTAATCTACACCAATATTCTAATCATTCCTAAAAAAACCTAAACCAAATATTAATTATAATAATAGTTAAATATTTTGTAATTTATAAGCTTTTAAACAAAAATAATTTGGTAACTAATTTTTATTTTGACTAAAATTATGAAAAACTAATTGGTTTTAAATTGAGGCTTTTTAATTTGGCTAAATAATCCTGGTCTTGTAGTATAAAAAAATATCTATGAATTTTTTTTATATTTTTAATGTTTTTTTCGTGATTTTAATTTTCTTTTAACAGATCACCCCCTATAAGCGCTAATACTGAAGTAGGAGGTATAGTATTTCCCACACAACAGCATTTTGGTACTATGCGCACACCTTTTGCCCAATCACAGGAGGCCATTAATTCAGGTTTACGCACAGCACCACAACCGCCCTTGGGTAAGTTTGAACTTCTTAAAATAAACGATAAATTTTTAATATTCATGTTGTTTTCTATTACCTTAGGTCGCCCTACTGTGGCTCCTCCCAAACCTCCCAGCGTTAAGCCACCACCACCCCCCTACACCAGCCCGCAGTACTTCCATTCAAATTTAAATCTCTCATCTACTTCTGTATCATCATCGAATGCCGCTGGTCCCATAAGTGCCGTTAACACTGCTCTCATTTCACAGGCTAGCATTTCCTCATCACCCTCATCGACCCAACCACCCTCCACTTCTTCGTCTACGAACAGTGTGTCTGCTTTAAGAGATCAATTCCGTTCGGGTGTAACTTCAACTCCCTCCACCACCACCTCCACCTTCTACGACAACGAAAACAACGAGTAGCCCTTTAAGCAGTAATAAATCACCGAAGCCCATTATATTGAATGGGGGACCCATCAATGCACCACCATTGCCTCCGCACAGAACATGCCCGGCACCGCCACCACCACTCAGACAGACAAGTAATAATGTAAGTTGGTAAACGATTTTTAATTAGTTTTTAATATAGTAATTTAGGCTACAGATTAGATTATAGACTAGAATACAGGCTATACTACAGACTAGACTGTGGACAAGACTAAACTAGACTATACATTAGACTATAGACTACACACTATAGAATATAGACATATGGACTAGACTACATAATATACTATAGACTAGACTATATACTAAACTATAGACTAGACTATATACTAAACTATAGACTACACTATATACTAAACTATAGACTAGATTACAGACTAGACTACAGACTAGACTACAGACTGGACTACAGACTATACTATACACTAAATACCAGACTATAGAATAGACTATAGAATAGACTATAGACTAGACTATAGACTAGACTATAGACTAGACTATATACTAGACTATAGACTAGATAGACTAAACTATAGACTAGACTATAAACTAGACTATAGACTAGACTATAAACTAGACTATACACTAGACTATAGACTAGACTATAGACTAGACTATAGACTAGACTATAGACTAGACTATAGACTAGACTATAGACTAGACTATAGACTAGACTATAGACTAGACTATAGACTAGACTATAGACTAGACTATAGACTAGACTATAGACTAGACTATAGACTAGACTATAGACAAGACTATAGACAAGACTATAGACTAGACTATAAATTATAGACTATACTATAAATTATAGACTAGACTAAAGATTACACTATAAATTATAGACTAGACTATTGAATAGACTATATACCAGACTGTAGACTAGATATAGACTACACTATGGACTAGACTATAGTCTATACTAAAGACTAGACTATAGACTAGACTATAGACTAGACTATAGTCTTGACTATAGACTAGACTATAGACTAGACTATAGACTAGACTATAGTCTTGACTATAGACTAGACTATAGACTATAGTCTTGACTATAGACTAGACTATAGACTAGACTATAGTCTTGACTATAGACTAGACTATAGACTATAGTCTTGACTATAGACTAGACTATAGACTAGACTATAGACTAGACTATAGACTAGACTATAGACTAGACTATAGACTAGACTATAGACTAGACTATAGACTAGACTATAGACTAGACTATAGACTAGACTATAGACTAGACTATAGACTAGACTATAGACTAGACTATAGACTAGACTAGACTATAGACTAGACTATAGACTATACTATAGACTAGACTATATACTAGACTACAGACTAGACTATAGACTAGACTACAGACTAGACTATAGACTAGACTATAGACTAGACTATAGACTAGCCTATAGACTAGACAATAGACTCGACTATAGACTAGACTATAGACTCGACTATAGACTAGACTATAGACTCGACTATAGAATAGACTATAGACTCGACTATGGACTAGATTACAGACTAGACTATAGACTCGACTATAGACTAGACTATAGACTCGACTATAGACTAGACTATAGACTCGACTGTAGAATAGACTATAGACTCGACTATAGACTAGACTAGAGACTCGACTATAGTCGAGTCTATAGTCTATTCTACAGTCGAGTCTATAGTCTAGTCTATAGTCGAGTCTATAGTCTAGTCTATAGTCGAGTCTATATCTAGTCTGTATCTAGTCCATAGTCGAGTCTATAGTCTATTCTATAGTCGAGTCTATAGTCTAGTCTATAGTCGAGTCTATAGTCTAGTCTATAGTCGAGTCTATTGTCTAGTCTATAGGCTAGTCTATAGTCTAGTCTATAGTCTAGTCTATAGTCTAGTCTGTAGTCTAGTCTATAGTCTAGTCTGTAGTCTAGTATATAGTCTAGTCTATAGTATAGTCTATAGTCTAGTCTATAGTCTAGTCTATAGTCTAGTCTATAGTCTAGTCTATAGTCTAGTCTATAGTCTAGTCTATAGTCTAGTCTATAGTCTAGTCTATAGTCTAGTCTATAGTCTAGTCTATAGTCTAGTCTATAGTCTAGTCTATAGTCTAGTCTATAGTCTAGTCTATAGTCTAGTCTATAGTCAAGACTATAGTCTATAGTCTAGTCTATAGTCAAGACTATAGTCTAGTCTATAGTCTAGTCTATAGTCAAGACTATCTATAGTCTAGTCTATAGTCAAGACTATAGTCTAGTCTATAGTCTAGTCTATAGTCTAGTCTATAGTCAAGACTATAGTCTAGTCTATAGTCTAGTCTATAGTCTAGTCTTTAGTATAGACTATAGTCTAGTCCATAGTGTAGTCTATATCTAGTCTACAGTCTGGTATATAGTCTATTCAATAGTCTAGTCTATAATTTATAGTGTAATCTTTAGTCTAGTCTATAATTTATAGTATAGTCTATAATTTATAGTCTAGTCTATAGTCTTGTCTATAGTCTTGTCTATAGTCTAGTCTATAGTCTAGTCTATAGTCTAGTCTATAGTCTAGTCTATAGTCTAGTCTATAGTCTAGTCTATAGTCTAGTCTATAGTCTAGTCTATAGTCTAGTCTATAGTCTAGTCTATAGTCTAGTCTATAGTCTAGTCTATAGTCTAGTCTATAGTCTAGTGTATAGTCTAGTTTATAGTCTAGTCTATAGTCTAGTTTATAGTCTAGTCTATAGTTTAGTCTATAGTCTAGTCTATAGTCTAGTATATAGTCTAGTCTATAGTCTAGTCTATAGTCGTCTATAGTCTATTCTATAGTCTATTCTATAGTCTGGTATTTAGTGTATAGTATAGTCTGTAGTCCAGTCTGTAGTCTAGTCTGTAGTCTAGTCTGTAATCTAGTCTATAGTTTTAGTATATAGTGTAGTCTATAGTTTAGTATATAGTCTAGTCTATAGTTTAGTATATAGTCTAGTCTATAGTATATTATGTAGTCTAGTCCATATCTATATTCTATAGTGTGTAGTCTATAGTCTAATGTATAGTCTAGTTTAGTCTTGTCCACAGTCTAGTCTGTAGTATAGCCTGTATTCTAGTCTATAATCTAATCTGTAGCCTAAATACTATTAAAAACTAATTAAAAATCGTTTACCAACTTACATTATTACTTGTCTGTCTGAGTGGTGGTGGCGGTGCCGGGCATGTTCTGTGCGGAGGCAATGGTGGTGCATTGATGGGTCCCCCATTCAATATAATGGGCTTCGGTGATTTATTACTGCTTAAAGGGCTACTCGTTGTTTTCGTTGTCGTAGAAGGTGGAGGTGGTGGTGGAGGAGTTGAAGTTTACACCCGAACGGAATTGATCTCTTAAAGCAGACACACTGTTCGTAGACGAAGAAGTGGAGGGTGGTTGGGTCGATGAGGGTGATGAGGAAATGCTAGCCTGTGAAATGAGAGCAGTGTTAACGGCACTTATGGGACCAGCGGCATTCGATGATGATACAGAAGTAGATGAGAGATTTAAATTTGAATTGGAAGTACTTGCCGGGCTGGTGTAGGGGGTGGTGGTGCTTAACGCTGGGAGGTTTGGGAGGAGCCACAGTAGGGCGACCTAAGGTAATAGAAACCAACATGAATATTAAAAATTTATCGTTTATTTTAAGAAGTTCAAACTTACCAAGGGCGGTTGTGGTGCTGTGCGTAAACCTGAATTAATGGCCTCCTGTGATTGGGCAAAAGGTGTGCGCATAGTACCAAAAATGCTGTTGTGTGGGAAATACTATACCTCCTACTTCAGTATTAGCGCTTATAGGGGGTGATCTGTTAAAAGAAAATTAAAATCACGAAAAAAACATTAAAAATATAAAAAAAATTCATAGATATTTTTTATACTACAAGACCAGGATTATTTAGCCAAATTAAAAAAGCCTCAATTTAAAACCAATTAGTTTTTCATAATTTTAGTCAAAATAAAAATTAGTTACCAAATTATTTTTGTTTAAAAGCTTATAAATTACAAAATATTTAACTATTATTATAATTAATATTTGGTTTAGGTTTTTTTAGGAATGATTAGATATTGGTGTAGATTAGGTTTTATTTGAAGGTGATTGATATGTTAAAAGCTCTTGTTTTTGTAATAAAGTAAGCATTTTTTATAGGCGAGATATGTTTATGAGAGTGAGAGAGAAAGAGAGAAAAATGTTTATAAAATTGTAGTTTTGTTTCTTATATACCTTGGCGATTTCATACTATGATGACGAGCTACACCCGGTCTTTGACCATTATTAGCCAAAGCCAATTTTTGCAAACCTGGTGGTTTGGGGGCAAAATTTGGTTTGCCATGATTTGGTTTCAACGTTGGCAATGGTGATTTAGTGGGTGGTGAGGGTGAAGCTGAGGCCGATGGGACTGACTGTGTTGGTGGTATTATCAATAATACCATTACTATTATAACTACTATTGCCACCACTATTACCAGTACCACCACCAAATAGTGTTGATCTATTGGGTGCTAAATTACGCAATGATCACCAGATGCAACCGATGATGTGACCAATGACGACGACGATGATGACGATAAGCTGTTGTTGCTGTGGCTGTTGTTGTTCATATGGTTTATAGTGTTTTGGGAATTTATGGATGTTGTTGATGTTGTTGTATTATTATTATTGTTGTTGTTATTATTATTTACAAATACATTATTATTCCCTAAAGTCATACTGTTGAAAACGGAAAAAAATCGAAAAGAAAAAGAAATCAAATAAACAAACATAAAATATACTAAAAATAAAAATAATTTTACAACAAAATTTTAATAAACCAATTTTTTTTTTGAAATTATATTATAACTAACAAAAAAAAAAAAAAAAAAAACATTTCAATAATTTAGTTTATAGTGGATTTAATTTAGTTTATATTCTAGTCTATAGTCTAGTCCCTAATATAGTCTATAGTCTAGTATATAGTCTAGTATATAGTCTAGTCTATAGTCTAGTCTATAGTCTAGTCTGTAGTCTAGTCTATAGTCTAGTCTGTAGTCTAGTCTATAGTCTAGTCTATAGTCTAGTCTATAGTCTAGTCTATAGTCTAGTATATAGTCTGTCTATAGTCCAGTCTATAGTTAAATCTATTG